AGGCACGGACGTGGGGGACCTCGAGTGCGGCGGCGCGGCGGCCTCCGCGGGGCCCGAGCCGGCCAGGGAGCAGAGGAGCCCCCCGCCCTGGCCACGCGTGCGGCAGGGCGTGTCGTGGCGGATCGACGGTATGACGTCCTGGTCCAGAACTCGAGGAGGAGGAGGAGGAGGAGGAGGAGGAGGAGGAAGAGGAGGAGGAGAGAGAGGAGGAGGAGGAGAGGAGGAGGAGGAGGAGGAGGAGGAGGAGGAGGAAGAGGAGGAGGAGGAGGAGGAGGAGGAGGAGGAGGAGGAGGAGGAGGAGGAGGAGCAGGAGGAGCAGGAGGAGGGGGGGGGCGCGCGGCGGCCTCCGGAGCCCTGGCGGATCAACGCTATGACGTCAATTGATAGGTTTTCTGTCTTTATTCATTGGGCGTTTTTTCGGTTTTTGCTTTCCTGTCTGTTCCCTGCTTCTTTCCCCGCTCTCGGTCGGCTGCATGTCTCCCTTTTTTGCGCATCGCGTGCCGTGGGGAGCCACGCTGCCAACGCGTCGCCGTTTCTCATACATAACAGGCAATTCCTGTAGAGAGGATGCGGTTCCTGGCCCATGGCGAGAGCAGTTTGCGGGCTAACCTCCAAGTTTCCATTTGTGGTGTCGACGTCAATTGGTATGTCGATTTGAGCTTATGGCATTCAATGAGAATTATGGAAGGCTGGCAATGCGTAGCTTTGTGCTCGTGTTATGTCCATCGGTTTGCATGGGACATTGCTGGGTTTTGACATGTAAGCGCAGTATGGTGTAGGTTTTGGGCGCGGCCTGGGACTCTCATTTTCCTAAATCATTCGACGGCTAATGCATGAGCGACTTGCCAGGTTCACTTTGAGAGCTACGTCGCTGCCTCATACTCTGTGGCTTAGCTTTCGTGTTTCGTTTCGCTCTTTTGTTTCCTGCTTCATGTTCCTCATTAATTTCCTGTTTAATTTTCGTGCTTAGCTTCCTGTTTAATTTTCGGCTTAATTTCCTGCTTAGTTTTCCTGCTTAAGTTCTTGTCTAATTTTGATTCCCTGATTAATTGTCCAGCTTATTTCCTGTTTAATGTTCCTGCGTGATGTCCTATTCAACGTTTAGTGTCCTCTTTTTGTTGTTTTTTTTTTTTTTTTTTTTTTTTTTTTTTTTTTTTTTTTTTTTTTTTTTTTTTTTTTTTTTTTTTTTTTTTTGTTTTTTTTTATTTTTATTTTTTTTTATATGTATGTATGTATATATGTAGAAGTATGATTTAAGCAGGCTCCGCAAATATTGGCGGTGATATATGTCCTTAGCGATTTCGCTTATTAGAGCCGCTAGTCTATTGCTAATTTGGCATCCCCTGCGTATACCAAAATTCGCGGGGAATTCGAGATGCTAATTAGCGGGTGCCTCTGGGGAGCACCCAAGGAAAGCTTATTTGTCGTTGATCTAAGGTTCAGCGAGGGCCTAGAGTAGCGCTGTCGTGCGGCGTCTAAATCAGCGCTGACATTCGCGCCTACATTAGTGCTCAATGCAGCACCAGCTTATTTTTCCTGCTTCTTAAGTTTCCTGCTTCATTTTCCTTATTTTTATTCCCTGCTTAATTTCGTGCTGAGTTTTCTGCTTAATTTTCTCGCTTGTTCTTTTCTGGCTATCATGCTTTATTTCCTGCTTAGCTTTCCTGCTCAATTTCTTGCTGGATTTTGCTGCTTCATTTCCGGTTCATTTTTCTGCTTAAATTCTTTACTACATATTACCCCAGTGCGACCCTACCTAGAAGTTGGGGCCCTTAGGAAAGCAGCATTGGTTGCTATGCTATGCTGTGCTATGCTGTGCCATGCTATGCTGCGCTATGTTATGCTGTGCTATGCTGTGCTATGCTATGCTATGCTATGATGCGCTATGCTATGCTTTGCTATGCTATGCTGTGCTGGGCTATGCTATGCAATGTCATGCTGCGCTGTGCTATGCTATGCTCTGCTATGCAATGCTATGCTAAGCTGCGCTATGCTATGCTATGCTATGCTATGCTATGCTATGCTTGGCTATATCATGCTATGCTATGCTACGCTATGGTATGCTATGCTGTGCTCTGCTATGCTAAAGCTCAGCGAAGCTAAGATGAAGGTAAGCTAAGCTAAGATAAACCTGAGCTAAGATGAAGCTAAGCTAAGCTAAGATGAAATAAACTAAGCTAAGATGAGATAAGCAACGCTAAGCTAAGGGGACGTAACTGGGGGAACCGCGGGGCGGATACTGGGGGAACCGCCCGGGCCGGTTCCCACTGCCCGGCCCTTTAAGCCAAGATAGTAAGAACCCTTCTAGGCAGAGCCTAGGTAGGGAACAAAAGTCTCTGCTTACTTTCCTGTTGATTTTTCTGCAATTTACCGTTTCATTTTCCTGCTTAATTTCCTGGTTGGATATCTTGCTTGTTTTCCTGGGTGGTTTCCCTGCTAAGTTCCAAGTTTTTTGTTTATAATATTTATGTTATGCGTCTTCTTGTGCTAAGTCTGGAGCTTTTATTGTGAATTCAATTGTGGGGTTTAGTTTGAGTGCTCATTTTCAGATCAGAATGGGTCATATTTCATGCTTGAACTTCTGAACATCTTCGTAGCGAACTACTGCTGTCACCTGTGCGCTGGGGAAGTAATTTCCTTCGTACTGATGAGTACGCTTCAGTTCCAGCCTCCATCTCAGCCGAATCTAATTCGGTTTGCCCCCCCCCCCCCTCGCACTGGCAGGAGGTCATGTCGGCAGGAGGCAAACGTTTGGTTCTCGACACCTCCGTGCGCTACCTCTACATAAACCCAGAAGTACGGAACAATACAAAACAGTTTTTGTATCCAAATCGACATAGCGTTGGTCCGCCACGAAACGTGTCGACGCGGCGGCACGAACCGCGACGTCGGATGCATTGGAACGCGCACGGCCCCTCTCCCTTTTACTCTTCCCCCTCCATCATGCCCCTTCTCCCCCCTCCCTCCCCCATGCTCCTCCCACTCCTCCTCCTCCTCCGCCTCCTCCTCCTCCGCCTCCTCCACCTCCTCCTCGTCCTTGTCCTCCTCCTCCTCCTCATCCTCCTCTTCCTCCTCCTCCTCCTCTTCCTCTTCCTCTTCCTCTTCCTCTTCCTCCTCCTTCTCTTGCTCCTGCTCTTCCTGCTCCTCCTCCTCCTCCTCCTCCTCCTCCTTCTCTTCCTCCTGTCGCTGCACGCGGCGGCGGCGGCCACCCCGCTGCGCAGGACGGTGCCGACCTGTTCTCGCCATGAAAAAGACGGTTCCCGAGGGACCCTGAGATCGTGGCGTCCCGAACCACGACGTCGGACTTTCGTCGTCGAGGTTCGAGGTTCGAGGTCGTCGGATGTTTTCGTTGGTCTTCGGCGGCTTTCCAGCCCCTGGACGCGTTCCAGCTTCGCCGGGGGCGTTCCGGGGGAGGCCGAGTCGTCTCGAACGGCCGCGAGACTCGCGAGACACCCGAGTGATGACACGAAAGCCGGGTGGCCCTTCGCCAGAGGGACCTCCAGTGCGCGGCTTTCAGCCCGCGCGGGGCGGCCAAGCGCAACCACACAGGGCGCTGCTGTCGCATCTCAGGCAACGATAGGCAAGCCCCGCATCAAAGGTCACTCTTGTCTAGAGCCATTCTTGCTTGTAGTCGACCCATCGTCTTCGTCGCCATTGTTGTCGCCGTCGTCGTCGTCGTCGTCCCGTCGTCGTCGTCGTCGTCGTCGTCGTCGTCGTCGTCGTCGTCGTCGTCGTCGTCGTCGTCGTCGCGCGAGGTCCGAGGTTCGATGCTGTTTCAGGCCTTCTGTCTTGTTGCGGTCCTTCGGAAGCCTTCGGAGGCCTCCGGGGATCCTCGCAGACTTCGTGGGGCCTCTAAGGACTTTTGCGTGTCACCTTCTCCTCCGTCGTCGTCGTCGTCGTCGTCGTCGCCGTCGTCGTCGTCGTCGTCGTCGTCGTCGTCGTCGTCGTCGTCGTCGTCGTCGTCGTTGCCGTCGTCGTCATCGTCGTCGTCGTCGTCGTCTCGTCGTCGGCGTCGTCGTCGTCGTCGTTGTCGTGGTCGTCTTCGTCGTGGTCGTCGTCTTGTCGTCGGCGTCGTCGTCGTCATCGTTGCCGCCAAGTACGTGTTCGTCGTGACGGAAATCGTATCGGGTTTTGCGTCCTGACTGTAGCCAGCCAGCATTGTCGAGGATGGCCGTGGAAAACACAGCATGTCATCGGATCGATCAGTGGAGTGCAACATCGCACGGTGTTTGATAAAACTGTTCAACATTTGTTTGTGGCGTTTTGGAATGACAGGTGCTAGATTGTGTCTGTGAGGCGGAGTGGGCGATTAGCACGTTCAGCGATGTGGAGCAATCTTTGAGATATATTCACGGACTACCTCCTCAAAGCAGAAGCGAAGAGATGATCACAGCAGATTGCAAGGAATGCCAGAATACTAAATCATGGGCCAGTTTCAGAACTCGTGGTCGGCGAAGCCCCAAGCAGGAATCTTGGGTTCCATTCCAATTGTTAATGAGTCTCCAGGTCCAAACGTGGACCGGGCTTCGTGGGTAGTATTCGAGCAGCCTATTGCCTGAAGTTGAAACTCAAGTTGTTCACCGTCACGCTTCCGTCTGAGCGACGGACAAAAAGAGCACGGGGTCGACTGCTCGGACATTCGCGCGCAAGCTTCCCGCGTAAGGCCGCGCGCCCTCTTCTTCTCGCGGTGTGCCACGCTGGCGGCCCGCGTACGTTGGGCCTTGCAAAGATAGCGTGCGAGGTGGCGCCGCGGGCCCGCTTATTACACGCTATCCCCCACCTTGGAGAGCGTGCACCGAAGAAGTCCTGGCAGAGGACTAGCCTGCGCACAGAGGGTCCTCGCGGGGGGATCGCCTCACAGGATAGCATGATTTGCGAATATCGATGTTCCACGCCAGACGCCAGCCGTAAGCCGCGGCGTATGCGGTCGCCACGTCTTCTTGCGTAAGACCCGCTTCTTTTCGTCGCTCATCTAGTGGGCGCGACGAGCCAGCCGCCAGGAAGCACGGTGGTCGAGCAGCTCGACAGGGCCCAGCTCCGTTTCCGCGATTCAGTGTTTAGGTTGCCCATGGAGCCTGAGGCCGCAGCACTAAGTTATAATGACTGCTTGTTCTGACGGCTCTGCCTTCTTTTTCCCCTCTCCCTCCGCGGCCGCTCCTCTTCCCGCTCGTCCGGCTCCCCTGTGCGCAGTCTGCTTCGCTGTGGCCCAGCGCTTGCTCTGACCAACTCGCGCGTTCGCCGAGTCCGCGACCAGAAACGGATTCGGTGGCCCAGGCACGTGAGAGAAAACCAGGCCCACTGCCTCCGTCGAGCAGGTCTTTGCGAGGCCACCCAGCAGGCAGTGGTCTCCTGCTCATGCTTTGGCGTGCCTTCGGTAGCGTTCTCGCCTGCAACGCCATCCGCAGACTTTTGCCAGCGATTGCACTGGCGGACCAAAACGCCCAGTGGGTGAACGACAGAGAACAATGGAGGACCCGCGACTCGGGAGTGACGCTGTCTGCCACATCCCAGACGGGTACCAGGTTCGAAAGAGGCAGGGTCTGCCGTTGTCATCAATGCCGTTGGACAATGGCCTGCAGCCCAGAGGGCACCAAGAACCAAGAAAGACAGAGCAGATCAGCTTCCCAATTATTGAGACACCATGCCATTAACATCGGATTGACATCTGGGCGCACCGTTAAGGCTTGTTTCTGCTAGAGTCGATGCTGTCACCAGTCTTCCACGGGCGCGTCATCACTATCACCATCAGCATCTTCATCATCATCATGATGCTCATAATCATCATCATCATTATCATAGGTACTCATACTCATACTCATACTCATTCTCATACTCATACTCATGCTCATGCTCATACTCATACTCATACTCATACTCATACTCATACTCATACTCATACTCATACCCATACTCATACTCATACTCATACTCATACTCATACTCATACTCATACTCATACTTATACTCATAATCATACTCATACTCATACTCATACTCATACTCATACTCATACTCATACTCATACTCATACTCATACTCATACTCATACTCATACTCTTATTCATACTCATACTCATACTCATACTCATACTCATACTCATACTCATACTCATACTCGTACTCATACTCATACTCATACCCATACTCATACTCATAATCATACTCATACTCATACTCATACTCACACTCATACTCATACTCATACTCATACTCATACTCATACTCATACTCATACCCATACTCATACTCGTACTCGTACTCATACTCATACTCATATTCATACTCAGACGCATACGCATACGCATACTCATACTCATACTCATACCCATACCCATACGTACTCCTCATACTTATACTCTACTCATACTCATACTCTTACTCATACTCATATACTCATACTCATACTCATACTCATACTCATACTCATACTCATACTCATACTCATACTCATACTCATACTCATACTCATACTCATACTCATACTCATACTCATACGCATACTCATACTCATATAAATACTCATACTCATACCCATACCCATACTCATACTCATACTCATAATCATACTCATACTCATACTCACACTCATACTCATACTCATACTCATATTCATACTCATACTCATACTCATACTCATACTCATACTCGTACTCATACTCATACTCGTACTCATATTCATACTCAGACGCATACGCATACGCATATTCATACTCATACTCATACTCATACCCATACCCATACTCATACTCAAACTCATACTTTTACTCATACTCATACTCATACTCATACTCATACTCATACTCATATTCATACTCATACTCATACTCATACTCATACTCATACTCATACTCATACTCATACTCATACTCATACTCATGCTCATACTCATTCTCATACTCATACTCATACTCATACTCATTCATACTCAGGTTCGTACTCATACTCATACTCGTACTCGTACTCGTACTCGTACTCATACTCATACTCATACTCATACTCATACTCATACTCATACTCATACTCGTACTCATACTCATACTCATACTCATACTCATACTCATACTCATACTCATACTCATACTCATGCTCATACTCGTACTCATCCTCATAGTCATACTCATACTCATACTCATACTCACCATCACCGCAATCATCACCATCATCATCACCATCATCATTTCCATCATCATCATCATCATCATCATCATCATCATCATCATCATCATCATCATCATCATCATCTTCCTCATCATCCTCACCATCATCACCATTATCACCATTATGATCATCGTCGTCGTTGTCGTCGTCGTTGTTGTCGTCGTCGTCATTCTCAGCACCATTATCATCATCAGCATCTTTCCACTCCCCATCACCCCTCCGCCTTCCGCTCCCCCCTGTTCATTTACCCCGCTAGTTCGGTTGCAACTCCTGTGCGGTTACATTCAGCATCGGTGCTGGTATATTCGTGGTCGAAGATCGTCCTACTCCGGCTTGATCCCGCTCTTTCCAGCTAAGTCCCACACCGTCTGGCCTAATCCTGTGAGAATATGTGGACTGGCCTGGCTTGGTGTCCCTTTAATCCGAGGGCCTCCCAGGAGTTGCCATCTAACGCTTGTGCGATCCCCTGAGACAGCGTACTTCGTCATGAAGGAACGGGGTCCTGATGGAAACAACAGAGAGCTACGATTATCAGCTCTGTTTTTCGCTCGTCGCTCGAACTAGAAAGTTGAAATATCGAGGGGCAAGCTGCATTGGGGTGCTGTAAGGGAGCTCTTTCAGACGGTGTGCTGGTTCCTAGACCTCGGGGCTCTCGCCAGGACCAGCTCCTCATCCCGTGCTCTTTCCTGACGGTCCCGGGGCCCGCGGACGGCCCCAGAGGGGTTTGGAAACGGCGAAAAACCTCCAGGACTTGTTTCCTCAGGATCCGCTTGCTTCATGCAACGTACGGCGCGTTGTGCCGACGTGCGGGCGTCCCCAGCCTGGGAGTTCAGGGTGGAACGCAGCTGGTGTCCCAGAATCGGCCGATATCGAACGATCTGGCGATCGGAAAGCCGCCGATCGTCCATGAGTTGAACGAACCCCGCGGTGTCAGAAACCAACGCCCTGGCCGTCACGGCACGATGCCGCCGTACTCAGAGATGGAGGCCTCTTTTTTCGCCTCTGTCCTCGCCCACGCCGCCAGTGTGCCCGTGACCGTCACCGTCCCAGCGAAGGTGGGCCAGTCGGCGCCCGCCTCAGTCTGTGGCTGGATCCCGCCTTAGGGTATCC